AGAGAGCGAGAGAGAGAGAGAGAGAGAGTTCAGGGAAGAAGATTGCATGAAATGGAGCAGTGCGAGGAGCACTTTTATAAGTGTTTTCTGGGCATCGTAGCGAATTGAAGCCGAATGTCGCCGGCACTTTTTTTAAATTTTTTTAATTTTTCATTAATTTCAATCTTCTCGCCTTCATAACAAATTAATAAATAAAATTATTGAACTTATGCTATACGTATAAATGCCAGAATTATAAGTTATGAGTATATCAAACTTTAAATATGTCAATTTTAAAAAAATGATTTTAAAAAGACAACAATCGTGACTTTTTTTTTATTATAATATCTTTTTATTAAAAATAATTTGAAATGATTTAATTAGTTTCATCACATTTGAGTAATTAATATGTGTTGGTGATATTTTAAATTTTTATATTTTTTTGACAATAAAATTTGAGATAATTGGAAAGAAATGTGATGCATCATTAATAATTTTTATCATCTAGCATAAATCTCAATGCGTGGTTTAAAAAATATATATATTTCGATATAAATTATAAATCATTCAAAGATTTGATTTTAACAAATTTATAGTCAAAATAACCATCTCAACAAGATGAGCCCATTGATATAACCTGAATCATGCCATTGAACCAGATTTAGAGGCTTTGGATGGTTAATTGAACAGTCAATTAAAGTATAACTTTAGCATAACTATAGTCAAATCGAGTGTATCGAAGAGAAGAAACAAACGAACTCATGCTCACTCAATTCTTAGTTTATTAAAGAACTCAAATCATTAAAAAAACTCATATGACCAAAAGGGGATCAAAGTGAGTTGTTCGATTGGGTGGCTATGTGAATTATATTCTGAATTTTGATCAAAGTGAGTTGACGAGAGGTGAAAAGTGAGAAGATGCAGCTGCACCAAACAGAGATGAAGTCAATAATCTAAGCCTTTATGAATCTCTCATCTCTCATATTACTATAAAGGAGATGGCCCCTTTGTTTATATTTTTGCTCGGGAAGCCATCTTCTGGAAGGCGTGTTGGAAGAATATAATAATTTATTACTAGTTGATTTCTGTTATTTTGACCCCCAATTAATGAACTAAAGTAAAAGGGCACTTTTGTAATGTGGTACCGCTCACCTACCACATCTCACCTACTATTCACCTACCGTTCACCTACCGCTCACCTACCTCCCACCAATCGCTCTCTTGCTTCTATAAATAGAGAGGGTGTGAGGCTTAGGAGAGCAAGGGAAGAAATCTTAAGGGTGTGAGGCTTAGGAGAGTAAGGGAGAAGATATCTTGAGCTACCACAAAGGAGGAGAGAATAACTATAGAGTTAGAGAGGAGGAGAGCATCTTGAGGCCTTGTATCAAGGTGTCGCTTGAGAGGGAGGCCATCGAAGGAAGATGAGGGCTCATCTCTATGTATAAGCTATGTATTCTCCATTTCTTTTGCCTTAGTGAAATATTTGATTGATTCCCTCCCGTGAACGTAGATCCAGTTGGATCGAACCACGTAAACGATCTGTGTTTGCTTGTGTTCTTTTTCGTTTCATTTCTATATCAGGAAGTACATATCTCACAGCAACTTTATTAGAGATTACCTCAAACTCAAACACATATCTCTATAACATATTGTGACCGAAGAACAACTAGCTGGCATATATGCAATATCCCTACTGATCACTCGACATCAGCACACTACTCAGATAATCAACTTGAAGGGGGGTAATTTGACACGCCTGGTCTCTTTGGTTGTGTCTCCTCCAGAGCACTCCCAAGCTTACAAGCACTCTACACCGCTGTGAGGAAATGACACGTGTGGCTATGGTAAGAGTTGGCTCTGCTTCAACTTTATTTGAGTCATGACGGTTCTGCATAATTATATGATTGCACCCCTGTATTAAACATTATATAGACAGTGGATGTAACTCAAATTTAAATATGAAAGATTTATCTTTTTCAGGCTTAATCAATTTCTTCTTCTCCTCTCTATTTCCTATCCCTTTCTCTATTGCCTTGATCTGTTATTAGTATTAGTATATTTGCCTAGCCTATATATTGGTCCTTCCCTTGATGATCAATCCCCTTAATATCATATTAATCCCTCAAAAACCGAAATTTATACCTCAGTCTTAACAACAATCCAATCCAATCTATTACCAAATGAAACAATCAAGAATTTTCAGCCCAACCATAGCTACAAGAACAAAACTTTCAATCCCAATACATATCTCAAACAAATAAGAAGAAAATAAACGGTCATATAAAACGATAACATCCTCTTGTAGCTCAAGTAACAGAACTCAGAACACTGGCAAGAAAAAAACAGATGAAGCCACCAAGGGAAGGAAGAAGACGACAGGCACGAACTTTGCCGCAGAAGCTGCCGCAGCCGATGATTCTCCAGCCTTGCCACTACCTTCACCAACATCAGAAAACAAAACCAGTCAATCAACAGCACTAAAAACACAATTTCTCAGAAAATAGTGCCACTCAAACCTGCAGGAAGGGCCGGCAAAGAGGCCGGAGCAGATGCGGTGGTCGGAATTTGATCACTCGGCGTTTCCTGTGAAGCCGGAGGAAGCGCTCCCGCAGGCGACTGTGTTACTGGTGTTTGTGAGTTTGACATAGCTGACATAACAACAAATGATTCCTAATGTTCAGTCACTTTATTATAATTCAAATAGGATTAATGAGGAAGAAAGAGT